AGACTTTGACATCCACCATTAGCAAAGGGTGTGAACCCATTCTTGTTGACTGTAGTAGACTTTGACATCCACCATTAGCAAAGGGTGTGAACCCATTCTTGTCGACTGTAGTAGACTTTGACATCCACCATTAGGAAAGGGTGTGAACCCATTCTTGTCGACTGTAGTAGACTTTGACATCCACCTTTGAGTTTGTCCCCTAATTGCGAAGTTTCATGTGTCTCACTGTATTATTATTTTGTGTTTAGCCGGCGCCTGGATTCTCGATGGATTCTGGAGAGATGGATATCAGCTACAAACCAGAGGATATCTATAATGCAGGGGTAAACACTAAACATATATATAATGGATATCAGCTACTGAGGATATCTATAATGCAGGGGTAAACATATATATATAATGGATATCAGCTACAAACCAGTTGATATCTATAATCCAGGGGTAAACATATATATAATGGATATCAGCTAGAAATCAGAGGATATCTAAAATGCAGGGGTAAACATGTATATAATGGATATCAGCTACTGAGGATATCTATAATCCAGGGGTAAACATATATATAATGGATATCAGCTACTGAGGATGTCTATAATGCAGGGGTAAACATATATATAATGGATATCAGCTACAAGCCAGTGGATATCTATAATCCAGGGGTAAACATATACATAATGGATATTATCTACAAACCAGAGGTTATCTATAATGCAGGGGTAAACATATATATAATGGATATCAGCTACAGAGGATATCTATAATCCAGGGGTAAACATATATATAATGGATATCAGCTACAGAGGATATCTATAATGTATGGGTAAACATATATATAATTGATATCAGCTGCAGAGGATATCTATAATGCAGGGGTTAACATATATATAATGGATATCAGCTACAAACAAGTGGATATCTATAATACAGGGGTAAACATATATATATATATAATGGATATCAGCTACAAACCAGTGGATATATATAATCCAGGGGTAAACATATATATAATGGATATCAGCTACAAACCAGTGGATATCTATAATGCAGGGGTAAACATATATAGATATAAATATAAGTGAACGAATGTAGAAAGGAAGGATTATACAAAATGAAGGAGCCTGGAAATAGATTATTAATTAAACGAGTAATTTTATTTTCCAAATAAAATGAAACAAAGATGGTGATCACTTTCTAATCTCTACGTTATTATTCTATTTTCTAGACTGACAGTGAATTTCCTGCTCATGCTGTTTTTGAGTTGGAAAACCGGGTTTTTCAGGTAAAATCCATTTTTTGAAATTATAATTCAAATTTTCAGATTTTTAGTAACTTTTCTAAGTTGCCATAAGTTAAAAAGAAAAAATATTACCAGTAGTTGATAAACCTGAGTTAAAAAAGAATAAACTCGTCATAAAAAAGAAAAATTGTTTCCTGCGTCTGTGTTGTCTGTGTTGTACACTAAATAATGTTTATTTTCTTTCAACTTCAAAATTTTATAAAATTTAAGAATATCAAATGTTTTCTACGTTTTTTATTCTTAACATTTGCATTTCTTTCCTTCCTTTTTTTCCGTTAAATTTTTACCGTGGCAGAAGATATAAACAAAAAACGATCCGTAAACGATGAAAAAACGACCCATAAACGATGAAAAAATGATCCATAAACGATGAAAAAACGATCCAAACGATGGAAAAACGATCCTTAAACAATGAAAGAACGACCTATAAACGATGAAAAAAAGACCCATAAACGATGAAAAAAATCGACTCAGAAACGATGAAAAAGCGATTCATAACCGATGAAAAAACGATACACAAGAGATGAAAAAACGAACATGATCAATGATCGTATTGGGATCGTTTTTCCAATTTTTATTTTTATTTTATGATAAAGATATTGCAAAGTTTAATAAAAGCAAACTTTAAAATAAAACAGTTCTGAAATCTTAAAAGTTTTTTTCTTGAAAAGAAAACGATTCACAACACTAATTTTATGCAGGAGAATTGGAGTATACCATTTAAACGCGAGGAACTACTTGGTATATGCCTTGAAGCCTCCACAAAGCTAGCAAGGTAACAGAACGTTAACCAGAGGTCGTTAAAAAGCTCACCTTCGTGAAAATCAGCATACTCCTATTTTCGCAATCTTTTCTGACCGAGAGCAGATTTTTTTGGTGTCTGATTTTGGGTTCCTTTTCAGACTTGATTTGATCTGATCTAAAAGAAAAGAAGGTATCTAGTGCTCTCTCAACGGGTTAATTCAAGTTCCAAGCTTGGCTTGAAACTTTTTAATCTCCTCTAATAGATCTGAAAATATATATTTAACTAATTAGACATGAGGAAATATGACATAAGCTGACACGTTTTTGAATGTAAAGATTTTGATTTAATGGAACGGGTTTTTTCTACAATTTTCGGCATGTTTTTGAAACTGTATCTATCTATCTATCTATTATGACTCCTCAATAACACAAGTGTTACCAGGTAACCACCCCTCCCGGCAACCCAGTGCCCCTTTCGGGGTGCATGGATCACAGAGTTAGCATGACATGTGCAATGATACTGTTATGCCTCAGTGGCAGTAGCCGAAGCCATGAAGCCCCAACTACCGTGGCCTTCATCTACAGCCTGTGGTTGATTAAGAATTGAGTTTTCTAGTTTAACTTCCTCCGACCCCCCGGTCGGATCACTGCTCTATTAACAAACCCTTGTTCATTACTATTAATCAAACCTGGTAAGTTTGTTCAAATTGTACTACAGTTTGTTGAGAAGGGGAATGTTAGGAGCACTGATGCAGAATGCAGCATTCTTGTTTCATATTTTTACATGCATATGTGTAGGGAAGGGGTAGGAGCTCTGGAACAGAATGCAGCATGCCTCAAGTTCTTGGATCAAATATTACCCGAGGCATTCCGTAAACTGCTGACAAGTAATGCCACAAGTCGATGGTTAGTTGAGATACAGGTAATGCTACTGGCTTGTTATTTTTCTTGGAAATTTTATTTCTTTTCTTGAATTTTAAAATCTTTAAATTTTGACTTGACAATATTTGAATTTTGAGAAGTCCGTTGAATAATCCTGGGACAAAAAAGCAACACACAGAAAAAACTGTTCATTTAAAGGGGGGGGGGCCACAAAACGTATTACTCTCTTGAAAATTTAAACAGTGGTTAAACATAACTAAGAATTGTCGTAGGAGGCTGATTTTTTGCATGCAAACTCAGAATTATGTATATTACATGCATTTTTTGGTTTTGAAGGAATCTGAGCAAAAGTGCGCGCGCGCACGCGCTTTTTGAGAAAAAATACGACTTTTTTGACAGTAAATCAATGTTAACTTCATTAATTGCACTTGAAAATTTTTCCTGACACTCTTGAAACAAATATGCGCTAAAAAAATTCAGCTCCAAAGGCTTAAATGTCCGCGCGCGCGCGCAATAAAAGAAAATATCTTTGAATACTTATGTGCTAAGTTTGGCCCAAGTTAGAATAACAGTTGCATGTGATACATCAAACTATAGCAAAATTGGGACAAGGAATTCATTTCCGAGGTCAAA